TGCGATCGTGCTGACATACACACAGACACACACACGCACAAAGGAAAGAATGCGTTGCGGACACTCAGGTGGATGGATGGATATGCGCACCTTGAGTGTCGCGACGAACTCGTCTTCGAAGTACTTGTTGGGGTAGATGGACGCACCACCCTGACAATCACACACCACACAGCAGAGAGAGTGTGCATACCCTCTCCCCCTCTCTCCCTCTCCCTCTCCCTCTGTGTGTGTGTGTGTGTGTGTGTGTGTGTCCTCATGGTGGTGTGTGTACCTTCCCCGTGCCCGTCGGGTCGCCTCCCTGGATCATGAAGCCCTTGATGTTCCTACACCATACACACACAGACACATAGACACATAGACATACAGACAGTCAGTCAGTCAGAGAGCTTGATGCCATTACATTCATCAGACAGCATCTTACGTACCTGTGGAACTTGGTGCCATTGTAGTAGCCACTCGCCGCCAAAGCCAGGAAGTTCTGTGAACAACACACAGATCAGATCACGCACCGTGTGACGAACATGGATCCATGTGTGTGTTCGCCCACCCCACCGCACCTTGCAGCACTTGGGCGCCTGGTGACAGAACAACTCAACCTGCGAAACAGACAGACAGACAGAAACAACAACACGTTGATGGTGAGCATGGCCACTCATGAGTGATGGAATGTGTGTATGACCTTCAGATCTCCAAGATTCGTCTTGATTGTCACCGACATTTCTCCCCCTCCTTGCCCCTTTTTTCTCGCGCTTGCGAGCTCAGCGATCGGCACCTCACCGCCCTTTTGTCATTGCCGAGCGTCGTTCTCGGCCTGCCGGACACCCTCAGCTGTGACCCTACTGGCTGCAAACACCGATCTCTCCTGAACGAGGCCGCGATGTCTGTCACCTCAAGCAGCACCATCACAGCGGAGATGCTGCAAAACATCATAGACGGTACGCACATGACCCAACATGGACCCCTGAGGGTGTCATTGCCATTCTTTCTGCTCTTCCTCTGCGTTCAGACAATCGCCGTTCGGTGAACCTCCTTCTGGAGCAGTATGAGAAGCGGATTGCGAGACTAGAGGAAGAGCTGAGGGAGATGCGGGGGCGCCAGGCACAGAATGACCGCATCACGCCCCGTACGATTGTCTATCAAGGTGGTCTGTATCACGGCATCGTGGTCAACGGAGTGCCCGAGGGGATGGGAGCGCTGCGGTCGATTGACGGGGACAACAAGATCTATGCGGGCGAGTGGAGGAACGGCAAACGGCACGGCAAAGAGAAAGCATACTACGACTACTGCGGTGATGTGCTGTGGTTTGAGGGGGAATGGCGAGAGGGCCGGGCCCACAGCGGCACCCTCTTCCCTGACGCCGACTGGCATGGAGCGAAGAATCCTGACGGCAGCCCTCAGTATCCCGTCACGCCCATTCGATGGCAGGCCGGACAGAAGATACCCGACACCAGCCTGCGTCCACCGTATGGGACGAAGCTGCATAAGTGGCTGCAGGATCGGGGTGTGTCGGGGTATTTCCCTGCTGGTGCCCTGTGGAAGTGAGTGGGTCTCTCGTGGCTGGCTGGCTGCATTTTCGGATGGCTGCATACAGACACACAGATAGACAGAAAGGGAGAAGCCTCTGCAATCTCTCTGTCTTGCGGCTGTTTTCATGGATGTGTGCTCATGGCTGGTAGACTGTCGGCCCGTGTGTGATGGGTGGCACTGGGATGGTGAGTCGGTCTCTTTTGTCTTGTCTGTCGGCTCGGCTGACTGTCAGTCATTTCCAATGAATATGGGTGTTAGTTTGCACTGAGTGAGTGGCCGACAGTTGCTAAGTCTGTGTGCTTGTGAGAAATGGGACGTGAAATGTGACATTAAGGGACATCATATAGCCAATCACATCGGCAGCCATTAAGGGACACTTACGTATGAGACCAACATACACAAAAGTCCAGCACATGCACATACAATGCGATGGGTCCATGTGCGTGAGGCCACACGGCCGTCAATGCAAGCACACAGGTCGATAGACCGACAACATAGCGCCCAGCAAGACAAAAGACACTCACAATCTCAGTCGCGGATCATCAGGCAGTGCATGGACATCCGCAGAGTGCATCTGTGAATGCAGGGCATCAGGATGGCCGAGATGACGCCCTGGACAGCTAAAGGCCAGAACAGATTCCAAATGCGCAGAAACTCCTGCCATGTTTGTCCGTGTGGTATGCCGTCGACTGTCTTGCCATTATAGCAACCATGGCACCGTCCCTTGCTGTCATAGATGGCCAGGTTGGTGATGTGGCCCTCGCCTTTCATCTGTCCCTCAGCCCGCTGACCCTCATAGCACATACCGCCTCCTCGCTGTACTATCGACCGGCCGTGTCCGTGTTGCCGTCATGCTGGACTTAAGTCGCCCTCGTAAACCATCCAGCCGTCATGCGGAAACCTTCTTTGTTGCGCAGCTGGCATGGCACGTATTCCTTCCGACGTCCATGCCGTTTGCCGGTCTACCATTCACCAAGTGTGTAGATGACAGAGCCGTCGTATGTGCGCAAGGTGCCGGTGCCGTGGGGCTGCCCATCATAGACGGCCTTCATCCTTCGTGTCGGTTGTATCTTCGTCCCAAGTAAGGCTGCCCATCGTGATGGTGTTGGCCTCCAGCTACCAAATACGGCTCTCCAGATCACCGTGACGCTGTCTGCCGCCATCTCTCTCGGCTCGGCTCTGAGCCCATCCTCCAGCTCCTACTGCAGAACCCTCGTTTAGCCATTCATTCCTCTCAGCTCGCCATGCCTCCCTATCGGGGCTCGGTGTCTTGCCTCCATCTCCTGTATTTATCTCGTGTGCTGGGCGGCGAGCGCCTGTTGTGAGCTCCGCAGCTGCTGCATGTTGTCGGCATGGGCCACAGTGAAGGCGCTTGATAGCGATTGGAAGATAGGGCGGCGTCGTGGTGAATGGCAGATCCGCACACACTACGCCTTAAGAGGCTGCTTTCGGCTCTGGTTCTTGTCCGCACCCTTCTGTCGGCCGGGTCGCTGTCTGACCTCACCCACAGCTCCTTCCTCCGCGTCAGCCTTGGGTTCCGGCGAAGGATCGGACACATGGGACGATGCAATCGTCGACGCAGGAGCATCCTTCAAGCATTGCTTCCTGAGACAAACGACAGTAGACACGTTTCTTTCTTTCCGCTTTGACTGCCTTGGTGGTACGTGCCTGACCTCTCGTCGTCCCATTTCCTCTGCAGGCGGCCGTACAGGTCCACGCCGGCTGCGAACGAGAACTCAGACTTGATGTCGCCGTTGGGCTTGAGACCGCAAGCAATCACTGACAGCTGCGAATGTGACAGCCCAGAGAAGTCGGGCGGGGTGATGTCGCTCCAATGCTCCGGGGAGAGCTGACGGAAACCTTTTTCGACTTTCCTGACCAGCTCGGAGGTGTCCTTCGAACCGCCCGCACCCATGGCTGTTCAAGGTCACTTTTCCTTGGCGAGCTCAGGAGCAGTCGCCTAGGGTGCTGCATGAAACCGCTGCTGCTGGGGTCTGGGGAGGAGGGACCACTGAGTCCAACACGGTCTTGTGCCTGAGATGGCGGAGACGCCGGGCAGACGGAAGAAGCGGCGTGTCGGTGATGCTGCCGATGAAGATCTGCCCGACAACGATGAAGATCTGCAGGTCACCACCGCCCTCCCTGCCCTCCCGCTGCACATCAGCGGCCAGGCCTACCTCAAGCGACAAGACGACTGTGCGCCGCTCTTTCGGTCGAGTAGGAAAGCCCTCACGCCGCCCGTCGTCCAGGGCAGTGACTGTGTGCTGGTGGACGGCCTGTTTGAGGCCGTGTGGGCCTTCCCGCATGTCGATGTCACCGAGGAGGTGGTGAGAGAGCCGGGGAATCTGTTCATCGGCGACAGAAGGCTCCACTTCGACGACATCAGGTGGGCGGCCGAATGTGTCACTGAAGGCAAGTCAATCTGCGTATCTGTGTGTGTGTGTGTGTGTTTGCAGTGGCGAGAGGCACACGCTGTGTCGTGTGTGCGGCACACACGGGAGGGCGGCTGACGACTTCATTACACAACACTACACCAAATCGACAAGTAAGTGACGCGGCAGCACTCTCTGTGCCATGATGTGTCTGTCTTCACTGTGTGTGTGTGTGTGTCACTTATTAAGGTTGCTGGCAGTGTGTAATGGAGAAGCTGATCACGCCATTCTGCATGGCACAACATAACACACCGTAAGCCGACCACATGACGATGTGTACATGGCTGTCCATTCTTGCTTTGCTGTGTGGCAAATCGTCAATCAAGTGGCCCCACTGGCCCACAGCCACAGCCATTCACAGCACCAGTGCTGTCACATCCACCTGTCGCCGACAGCCATTCGCCAGGTGGCTGCATGCAGCCAACATCGGCTCTTCCCGCACAGCTGCTACCCCAGCTGCAGCCACCGGTGAGAATATTGCCAGCGCACAAACACACATCGTCCTATACAATCGATGCTGTCTGTCTGTCTGGCTGTTGGTTCAGTTTGCGAAGCAGCTGCGAGGGCTTGATGACCTCAGCAGGGTGCTCAGGAGTCAGCTGCAGCTGGTGGACGACCAGAGGCGCCAGGCACTCAATCTCTTCGCCACGCCAAACAAATCACAGGCATGTTATGGGACCCTAGCTCTCATACACACACATTCGTCTCTCTCTCTCTCCCTCTGTCTGTCCGTTTGTCTGTCTGTCTGTCTCTCTGTCTGTCTGTCAGGCTGTTGAGCAGAATCTGCGTGTGTGGCAGAGCATCGTCGACAAACACCCCCAGGCCACCAGCCAGACATTTTCCGCACTCGCCGCCCCTGCAGCAAAGAAACTCCGCATGATACAGGCCCTGCTGGAGACGGCAACAGTGAGAACACGGGACGGCACAGTAATCCCTTTACTGAGGAGGCTGTCCGGTGTGTGTGCAGGATGGTCTTTGCCTCGAGGGCATTCCCGAGGTGCTGTGGCTGAGCGACAGCGATCGCACCGGCATCGGTAAGAACGCAAAAAGAAGAAGCCATCTCAGTCGCCTCACCTGTCTGTCTGTCTGTCTGGTTTGGTCTGCAGGTGGTTATCTGGGCTTCGTCGAGTGCGTCCGGTGTCTCTCGGGTGTCAGCACGGCGATCGCGTCGATCGCCGATAACCCCAAGATGCATCCCATCCTGCTGCTAGAGAGTCCCAAACGTCACACGCGCGCCCCCCAAGGGGTCCATAAGAAGTGGAAAGGTGAGGAGAGCGCAACACAGCACGGCAGTCGACTCATTGTCGGTCCTTTTTCTGTGTGTCATGGTGGATCCTCCAGAGGTGCTTTTCAGCACGAACAGCATTCGGGTGTTGATCAAGAGCGGTACGTATCATATGGGCAGACAACTGCTCGAGGCTGCCGCTGCAAGCGTCACTGAGGTCATTGTCGACAAAACGGCCGAACGCAGAAGCTCTGGTGATATCGTGTCGCGGGTCGTCACCGTCGCCCTGCTCGAGGCTGCCGCTCCAAACGTCACCGGGATCACTGTCGACACGACCGCCGACCGCACGACACAGTGCATTTCGATCGCAGAGCGCAGTACTTTGAGTTTCCCGCGGCTCGTCAAGGCCGTCGTGAGGCGTGAGTGGGGGGAGGTGATGCAGCGGCAGATCGATGGGAAGCAGGTCTACAAGATGCCCGCCCTGGCCCACTTGAGCGTCGAGTGGCCTGCACACGGGGGGCTGACGATGCTCATAGGGGTGACTGGCGGCCTGCGGTCACTCCATCTCCTCAACCAGGTCGGTGGGATGGGAGGAAATGCGGCCATGGTCTGATGCATGGATCGTCCGTGTCGTTTTCCTACCAGATGTCAGCTGATGGTCGTCCCAGTTTCACTCTCTTCGGGGCAGTCGCCGAATCGCTGCGAGGGACGCCCTCTCAGGCCACCATCAGGTCACTCACGGGGGCCATCCATCTCACCACATACCCAAAGGCTCCCTCATTTAGCGGCCTCGAGTGCTTGGAGGTTGCGATACCGGGGATACTCAGCCAAGCCAACAGCGTGCAGGTGCGAAACTTCCATATGGCTACGTACACGGGTGTGTATCTTGATGTGGATATGTATTATTGTCTTAGAAGTTGCACAAGCTCCGAAGCTCGTGGCTGGCCAAGGGCGCGAAGGAGCTGTACCACATTGGAGAGATGGACAACCGACGCCTTCGCCTCGTCCAGGAGGCAACGCGCGAGTGCCCCGCCCCCGTTCACATCCACTTGCCGCTGATCGGCAGGTCAGAGGAGCTGGCAGGCACTCGATCGACCCTGCACTTCCTGGCGGCGAGCGCCACACGAGTCAGCCTCTTCCCCTACCTCCTCGACACTCACGCGACCGGCGCGAACGAGCTCTATGGCCTCTCCTTCAAGCAAGCGGCTGATCTCTTCGTCGCATTTCCGCCGGGCATGACGGACCGTGACGCCCGCCATCCCCTGCCGGAGTGGGTCGTCGACAACGCGTCATCGATGTTCACTGAGGCCAAGACACTTCACGTGGCGCACGGCAGTGGGCCAGCGGGAGTGTCGCTGTATGATGGAGGGGCAGACAAGGTCATTAGGCAGCTGCCCCGCCTTTCGCATGTCATTCACACAGTGCGGGTCACGTTCCCTTCGCAAAACGTACTTGTGCCGCTGGTGTGGGCGGGGCTGAAGCACTGCGCTCTAGAGAGCGGGCCTCTCCGCGTGGTCGTGGAAGTGCTTGCGAGCGCTCGGCCGTCGCGGGTCGGTTTTTTCTTGCCTGTCTTTCACTGGCAGACTGTAGAAGAGGAGTCACATGAGCTTGAGGCGGTGCTGAAAGCCAGGGTGAGGAAAGTGACGGTGGTTCTCAATGTGCGTCATGAGAGAGGGGCGGGCAACCAGCAGCAGCCGCCCGCATTCCCGTCGCATTTTTCGTGTGTGTCCTCTTTTTCGCCCACTGCATGGTCACTCTTGACGCGATTTCACAGAGTTAAAAAGGTGTGTCTAAGGGTGGGCGAAGGGGTGTCATGTGACAGGGACATGCTTCTGGCGTGTCTGCGGGGGCTGGGGTTCGCGGGCTACTCGATAGTCAGGGATGTCAGTGACGACAACACAATGGTCTTCCAGAGAGGCCGGTGACGTGTTTGTGTGTGTGTGAGGGCAGTGAGTTGATGGACAGCCTGTAGCTTAGCTGCTCGTGGCGCTGGGAGGTGAATGCGGGGCGGTGGGGCTTCGTGTGTGGCTTTGTTGACTGCTGTACGATCTGCTGCACTGAGCAGTGGATATGTCGAGGGAGATGATCGGTGATTTTTCCGCCTCAAGAGGCGCGTGTGTGTGTGCTCTCTCTGCTGTCCTTCGACCACTTCTCGTGCTGCGTGAGTGCTGTGTGAGCCGTACAAGCCACATAGAGCTGTCGTGGCTCGACGTGTGCCTGCCTGCCGTGGTGCTGTCTTTCTGCATGTGGGGTCTATCTGATACTTGCTGTCTATTTGTCGCTTCCAGCTTTGTGTCCGAGAGAGGGGTGGGGGTGGGGGGGTGTGAGGAGAGCATGGTGGCCGATGGTGTGGTGTGTGCCCATGTGTGAGGCCAGCGATGGTATGGTTGTGCTTCTGGTGCTGATGGCTTTATTGCCATGAGTGTATTCTACTGCTGATGAGCTTTCCTGTGGTGATTTTACATTGATCGGTGTGTGTCTGTCTGTCGTCCTGCGTCCCGTCTGTCCGCGGTTTGATGGCTGCACTGTGTGAGCAATGACACACCTGCTGCCATTACGCCGTAGAGTGATAGGACGAAGGCCAACAGACAAAACACGCCCTGCAGTCTACAAACTGACAGCAAAGACAGCTCTTGCGTCTCTGTCGTTGTGTCTTGCTGTCGTGATTCTGGATGAATGGATGAATGGATGGATGGATAAGTGCGGTGCGTGCCAATTCACCTGCTTGTTGCCATCTGGGTGTTCGTACAAACACAGATCGAGTCGTACAAATGCAAACAAACAACACAAAGCTGTTGTGCCCTTTTCGTTTTCTTTTTCGTTTTTCCTCGTAGCTTAGTTACCGACTCGCTCAGTCAGCCTTTTCCATCGCGGACGGGGCCTTTTGTTTACTCACACGTGGTGGTGCCTGTCGGTTGCTATTTGTTTGCTCCCCGCTGTGTGCTTTGCTTTCTGTGTCCCCGCCAAATCGGCGATGCACTTTTCGGTCTCAATCACAGTTTGATCGCAGTTGACTGAATGCTACGCACACACGCATTGATGGACCGATGACAGAGACAGTCACATAGATAAAAGGCAATCACGATCCGTCTTCGCAGACAGAGAGACCCACCGACACGCAAACCCGTCGGCACCCGACTCACACACACACAGTCAGACGCTCACAAATGCCGTGACAGACCCTGCTGCTGCAGCCACTCGTACAATGTGGGGGCTTCCCAGCGATTCTTTCTTCGGGAATGGGTGTGATGGGGCTGCCTTGTCACACATCCATTCGCCAACACAGCACCATACTAGTAGTAGGCCTTTCCCTGGCCGTGCCGCGCGTCGTCCTTCCAATGGCCGTCATAGATGACCCTGATGCCGCGTCCAGTGAGCACAGCACGCCCATCCCGCCGGGCACTCCATTAGCCACCGCCGTAGTAGAGACCTCCATGCTAAACGATCGACGGAGTGTGGCATTCATCGTAGGCCTTCAGCTTCGCCTCAGCCTTCATGCAAACACACAATTGCTGGCTGACGTGTATGTGTGACCTCCTCGCAGCGTCGCTTCCATCCGTCCCTCTACGCCTTGTACTCGTCTCGCTGCTGCCTGATGTCATTGACGAGGACTGCTGGTCCTCCATCTGCTTCTGGATCATCTCCATGTCGACCGCAGTGAAGGCGCTCGACTGGCCGGCGTCTGATAGGGCGTCGCTGTAGGCGGCCATCGTCAGCAGCAGGAGCGGGAGATCAGTTCGCCTGGTGCAGCTGACAGAGGGCGAGGCACATGAATCGTGTGTTGTGTGCTGGTTGGATGCCCACCATTGGCGCAGGCGCATCTGCCGTCCTCTACTCGAGTGGTGTGCTCCCTCTTGCGCACGCACCTTGCCGTCACTGCAGACACACACAGTCACACAACATGCAAGGCAGCTGTGGCATTGACTCATCGAATTTCACACATGTGCCCTCGTATGTGTCCACCTTGCAGCACTTTGGCGCTTGCTGACAGAACAGCTCAATCTGTGAAGCCCAAACACACAAACACCGACACAAAGATGGTGACGGATGGGAACACCTTGAGATCTCCGAAATGTCTTGATTGTCACCGATCTGTTTCCCCTTGCCTGCTTCGTTTCCTGTTTCCTTTTTATACTGAGCTCGCACGGCGGATCACACCCGTGTTGCCTTTTTGCCATCCCCGGGCGCCGCTGTTGACCTGCCTGTGGCCCCCAGCTGTGCCTTTTTTGATTGCCATCGGCGATCTGTCCAAAATGAGCCGCCCTCCCGCCGCTCCGACGAGGGGCGGAAGACCTGCGCCATTTATCCCTCCTGCCGCGATGTCTGTCACCTCCTCAAGCAGCACCATCACAGCCGAGATGCTGCAGAACATCATGGATGGTACGCACATGGACGGGATCACTGCCGGTGTCACTGCCCATATGCATTCTCTCGTGTGTTGCCCTCCCTCCGCCGTCAGACAACCGTTGCTCGATGAAGCTTCTGCGGCAGCAGTATGACAAGCGCATCGAGGAGTTTCAAGCACAAAGAGATGACTACAAGAGAGAGAGGGACGCCTACCGACGTGAGCGAGACGCCGCCCTGCACAAGCTCAGAGAACTCGAGGCCAAGATGGCTGCCGAGCAGGCCGTCCGTGTGAGCCGCACGGTCGTCCCTGAGGGCGCTGTCTATCACGGAACCATGCGTCGCATCGCCGGTATCGAGGTGGCGCACGGCAAGGGCAAGGAGATCAGCCACGGCAGAATTGTCTATGACGGCGATTTTGTGGACGGCAAGCGGCACGGCCAGGGCGAGGAGTTCGCCAGCCGCAAGTCGATCTACAAGGGCGGCTGGGCAGATGGCGAAAGGGATGGCGCTGGTGTGGCGACGGGCATCTTCTGGGAGCAGGGCTGCAAATATCACGGGCCAACGCGCGACGGCAAACCACACGGAGAGGGAGAGCTGCGAGACGGCGATAAGGTGATCTATAAGGGCGGCTACAAGGACGGCAAGCGGCACGGCCGTGGGACAGAGCTCACCCGTGACGGCCGAGTGCTCTACGAGGGCGAGTGGGCCAACGGTGACAGGACCAATAAGGGAGAAGGGAAGGTGGGCAGCATGGAGCTGAAGGACGACAAGAGAAAGCGGCTCGGTTACTACTTCGGCGAGACACTCGACGCGGCCTGCCAGATGGCGAGGGAGAGCTGCGAAACTACTGCGACCGAGTCGTCTACAGCGGCGAGTGGAAGAACGGCAAGCGGCATGGCGAAGGAAAGGAATTCGGCCCAAGATATGAAGGCGAGTGGGCGGATGGCAAGCGGCACGGCCAGGGGAAGGCATACTACGACTGGTGTGGTCCTGTGGTGTGGTTCGATGGCGAATGGCGAGAGGGCCTGGCCCACATTGGCACCCTCTTCCTTGACGGCGACTGCTATGCAGCGAAGAAGGCCGACGGCATCCCTCGGTGTCCCATCACGCCCATTCGATGGCAGGCCGGACAGAAGATACCCAACATCAACCTCGTGCCTGGCGGCGGATGGAAGCTGCATCAGTTGCTGCAGGATCGGGGTGTGTCGGAGTATTTCCCTGCTGGTGCACTGTGATAGCGAGTCTGTCTCTTGTGGCTGTCTGACTGTGTGTGATATCAATCCGTGGATCTCTGTGTGATTGATTGCGTGATTGAGGGAGCGACTGCTGTTTTTTGCGCTTCCTGCTGTCTATCTTGGCTGGCTGGCTGGCTGGCCAGTGTGTCTCAAACAGACACACAGAGAGACAGACAGACAGACAGACAGGGAGGGAGGGAGGGAGGAGCGGAGCCTCTGCAGTGCGTGGTGCGTCCGTCTGCTTGTCTGGCCAGTGTGAGTGGTTGACGACGGCCACACATGTATGTATCTCCTGTCTCGCGACTGTTTTTATGACGGTCGAATCGTGTGTGATGCGTGGTGCTCTGTGTGTGGCAGACGGTTGATGAGAGATCGCACGTGAAATGTGACATGAACGGATATCGCGGCAATCGAATGTATAATTCCTCCGTGTGTGCAAAGTCAGTACGCCCAGTGGTCATATATTCATCCACACATGTGGTCATTCACTCGTCCATTCAGTCCTTGACAGGTATGGCGTCCTGCATGTATTTGGACACTCGGTGTCTTCTGGCCTTGACGTGGATGAACAGATGCACACGATGGCCCCACAGCTGCTGCAGACGATGGCTGACCGACGCACACACATACACAGAGATGGATGGATGGGTAAGTTGCGGTTGCTCACATGACGTGTTTTCTCATTTGGAAGATGATTCTGTTGCGGATGCCGCATATCATCATGGCCACCACGTTGTCTTCAGCCTGCACACACACATGAACACAGAGTGAGGGATAGGCGTGGATGTGATGCGGTGTGTGTGTGGTCACTCACCAGCAGCTCTTGCTCGATTATGAGGCTGCCGTCGAGACGAGGGGTCCACCCTTGAAGACAGACGTACACGCGTGCTGCAGGTGCATTCATCTGTGCATGACGTGTGGCTCACTTACCGACGGTCTTCTGTTCGATCCGATAAGGCACCTGCTTGTTGAACCAACAATACAGATACGTCCTGACACACACACACACACACACACACCATTTGTGTGATGGATGTGTGTCAATCGTCCCTCCCTCTCTCACGCAATCATCTCTTCCACAAGCTGCACTTTCGACTGGGTCGTCACCTGCACCACACAGAGAGAGGGACACGCAATCAGTCGTTTCCTCTCTCTCTGCCACGTGTGTGAGGTGTGCCCCTGACCATGTCTGGTGGGCACATCCATGTGCGTGGCCGTGCTCTCGACATGAGGTAGGCCTTCAGGTCATCCACACCGTCACCCCTCTTGGCTGAATGTCGCCACAACACACACACAGGGAGATAGGGGTGGGTGGGCAGCTGTCGAGTGTGTTTGCGCTGGGCGGCCGACCTGACACGTAGAAGATCTTCTCGAATGATGCGTAGGACCTGACACACACGCAGACACGACCGTCACAGAGACAGACACATTTGCGTGTGCATGCGTGTGTACGCGTGTGTACGTGAATTCGTTTGCCCGCCACTCCACATATCTGTCCTGTGACGCCTTGTCAACCTGATACACACACAGAGAGACAAAGGCATACCAGAAAGAGAGACAAACATTTCTTGTGTGTCAGCACGCCTACCTTATTGAGCACAAGAATGACGGGGATCAGCCGCTCCCTCTCACTCCTGTAGTCCACCTCTGATGTGGGCGCCGCGCCATCGCCACCCACTAGAGACAACGAAAACTGACACACACACTCAGAGACACATTGAGTGGGAAATGAATCACACACACGCACACACACACTGACGGACCTGGTCTCTCTGCCGCTGTGACTGTATGGCGGCCTGTGTTTCCAGCACAGAGGAGGGGAAGGAGGGATGGTCGGCCGGCGATGACGACGGCTGCCGCTCCACCGCCCATGGCAGCAGCTCCACACCTGCAATACACACACACACACACACACGTATACACTCCCTCTCTCTGTGTGTGTGTGTGTGTGTGTGTGTTGATGTAGCAACACACGTGCACAAATCCATGCTCACCTCTCTGTGTGAATCCTGGCACTGAGTATGTGTTTGCGTCGAATTCGCCCCCATCCTCGTGTGTGTTGGCGTAGTGCGTGAGCGACACCTCCCCCTCTCCCGTCGTGTCGGCCGTCAACGTCATGTACTTGCGGGGGGGAGAGGGAGAGGGAGAGGGAGAGGCAGAGGGATCATCACTCATGGCCTCCTGCGATCAGACACACATGACGGCATCTGTCTCTCTGTGTGTGCTTCTGAGGGTTACGTGTTGCTGCTGGTTGTGGTGTTGATTGTTGTTGTATGTGTGTCTGAACTGCTGCTGGTACAGCCTCCTCTGCTGAATTCGCTCCCTCTCCGCTCTGTCCTCCTCCATCGCCCAATCTATCACACACACACACACACAGAGAGAGAGAGAGAGAGAGTGTTATTGGGACACACGTATGGATACAAACGCTTCAATGTGCGCCCACATATAAGAAACGATCCCCGCCCACCGGTATATTCCTCGAGTATGGATCTCCGCGGCGCCAGTCGCCTGACGAGGTCAAAGAGGTCCTGCGTCGGCCGCTTCACCGCATCAACCACAAACAACGCCAAGTCAGCCGCCTCCTGAACAGCCCACAACACATCACACACAGCACCGTGCACAGACAGATATCTCCCGCTCTCCCTCCCTCTCTCTCTCTCCTTACGTATCCCCTCCATGCCGTGTTTGCCAGCTCTCGTGCAAATTTCCTCTGGTGAGAGGGCAAAATGCCCGGAGCGTCGATGAACACCAGCTGGGTGGAGGACGCCTCGTCAGTCACTATGCCGCGGATCTCACGACTGTAAGCAAAGCAGTGCAGACACACACAAGTGCATCCAGGATACCTGCACGCACCTCTCTCTCTCTGTCTGTGTGTGTGTGTGTCTGTGCATGGCGGACCGAGTCGTGTTGACTTTGGGCGAGACCGCCGCGATGCGATGTGGCAGGAATGCGTTCAGCAGAGATGTCTTGCCTGCAACCACCGAACCACACACGCGTAGATGGATGGTACACACACAGAGATGGCTTCTTCAGGGACCTGCATTTGGCAGTCCAATGAGCGCCACTGTCAGCCCCTTAGGGTTCTCCGGCTGGCTGATTGTGTCCCACGTGTTGAACATGGCCTCGGTCGGCACCTGACCACGCAATATCATCGGACCTGCCACACACACACACACACGCAGAGAGAGAGAGAGAGAGAGATGCACACGAATGCCACACATCTATGTGTGGCATCCATCCATGTGTACCTTTGTAAGTGGACCGTTGCGCATCTGCAGCAAACCCGCCTCCCTTCGCTGTTGCTGCTGTCGGCTTGTCCATTCCATCACCGCCCTCCTGTTGTCGAGCTTCCTCAGTCCCCCTTCTCCCAGCATTAGGCATCGGCCGCACCAGCTTGTATCTGTCCATGATAGAGAAGGCTCTCCTCTGTGCTGCTGAATGTGTGTGTGAGATGACGGGCGGCCGGCTGAATGAGGGCGGAGGGGTGGGGATGGGCAGCAGGGCGGATGGGCGAATGGCTGCCTTGAAGGTCATGCTGTTGTGAGCTTGGATGAGTGGCTGATGATAGATCTGCCTTCCATAGGCCCTCGCTGCTCACGCGCGGTGCCTAGAAGCCTCTCAGAGCTCGGAAATACCGATGACAAAAAGGCATCGGGCATCTGCGCGCTCAAAGAAACTGAGGCTGACGTGATTGGCTATGTCCATCCCTTAATGTCACATGTCACGTCCGACTTCTCACAAACACACAGCCTCAGCAACTGTCGGCTACTCACTCATTGCAAACTAACACCCATATTCATTGGCAATGACTGACTGACAGTCAGCCGAGCCGACAGACAACACAAACGAGACTGACTCACCATCTCACCATCCACGGGCCGACCGTCTGGCAGCCATGACCCGCATCCCAAAAACAGCCGCAAGACAGAGAGATTGCAGAGGCTTCTCCCTTTCTCTGCATCTGTCTGTTTGTCTGCAGCCATTCGAAAATGCAGTCAGCCAGCCAGCCAGGAGAGACAGCAGGAAGCACAAAAAAAAAACAGCAGTGGCAGCCTCCTTCCCTCCCGACCTGACGCAATCAACCACATGCAGATCCACGGATTGATATCACACACAGTCAGACAGCCACGAGAGACCCACTCACTATCACAGTGCACCAGCAGGAAATACCCCGACACACCCCGATACTGCAGCCACTGATGCAGTTTGCCATAGTGCCATCCAACACGCAGGTCGATGTCGGGTATCTCCTCTTCGGCCTGCCATTGAATGGGGGTGATGGGATACCAAGGGCTGCCGTCGGCATTCTTCTCTCCACGCCAGGTGCCGTCAGGGAATAGCGTACCGCTGTGGGCCAGGCCCTCTCGCCATTCGCCATCGAACCACAACACGGTACCCTCATAGTCATAGTATGCTTTCCCCTGGCCGTGTCGCTTGCCGTGCCGCCAGTCACCCTCATAGGTAGCCCTTCCTCCATCGTCGAGTGCCTTTCCACAACCGTGCCGCTTGCAATGCTCCCACTCGCCCCTGTAAATCACCCGGCAGTGTGAGTCGAACTCCTCGCCGTGGCCACGGCCGTTAGTCCATTGACCCTTATAGACGACGTTGTCATGGTTGTCTCGCAGCGCCCCCTCGCCGTGTGGTCTGCCATCGAGTGTAGCACCATGATAGAAATGGCCCTCCCATAGCATGCCGATCGCCACGCCAGCTTCCTTCTTCTCCCCTCTGACCCACACACCCCTGTAGGTCACCTTGCCGTTGACGAACTCCTCACCGTGGCCGTGTCGCTTGCCATCCACGAAATCGCCCTCATAGACGGCTGTGCCTTGACTGAATTCAGTGCCCTTGCCGTGGTGCTTGCCGCTTTTCCACTCGCCCTCATAGCGCTTCCTCTCGCCGTCCAGCGACCGCAGCACTCCTGTTCCTTGAGGCACTCCGTTGACCACCGTGCCATAATAGAGACCGCCGTAATGGACGATCGTGCGCGGAACGATGTGGTCATTCTGCGCCTGGCGCGCCCGCGTCTCCCTCAGCTCGTCCTCCGCTCTGTGTGCCCGCTCCAGTGCCTGATCTCTTTGCGCTTGAAGCTCCTCAATCCGCCTGTCGTACTGCTGCCGCTCTCTGTCCATTGACCGCCGAAGATCTGCATGAACGAACAGACAGGCACACGCAGACACAATGAACAGACACACGGATGTCCCTCTGTTATTGTGTGCGAACCATTCATGATGTTCTCCAGCATCTCGGCCGAGATGGTGTGGCTTGACGCGGCGTCAGACATCTGCTTGACAGGGCAAAGTAAAGAAGGCGGCTCGTTCAGCAGAGATCGATGTTTGCAGTCAATAGAGGCTCACGTGGCCACGAAAAGACAGGCCAACAGCGGCGTTCGGGGATGGCAAAAAGGCACGGATCGCCGTGCGAGCTCACAAGAGGAAAGGAGAAGGAAACAGGAAGAAGGGCAGACGAATCTCACAATGTCATCATGCATACATCTACTAGACATTGTGTCTGTCTGGCGTGTCTGCGGCCGCTGAATGACGGCCTCTCGTGTCCATGTAGTGTGGGCGTTTACAGATAGCTTTTCTGTCATCAAATATATTACATGTATATGGCCGCGTTCCGGTCACCTGTGTCTTTCAGATGAGACCACATGAGACCTAGTACATGAACGGATGAATGGATCGTCACCGAACGTGCAGGATCCGCAACGAAAAACAGCACAGACATATATCGATGTCAGCCAAGACACACAGAGCACGCACATCCACATGATGTCAGGACAGAGTACACGGCACATCGCATCAGATCAGGGAGAGACACAAACGGCATTAAACACACGACACCCGAGACACAACATACAAATCGGTCGCTACGAAGCATCCCCACTACTCAGAGACAGGCCTCTCTCTCCTAAAGACGACTGACCTATCGCCCTCCACGCTCACGTGGCCACGAAAACCCAGGCCCTCCACACGACCCACGAGATCATCTCTACTACACTTGATCCCGCCGGCCATCGTCAGGACAACACGCTCGACTGATGGAAATCGCGTCAAGAGAGACCATGCATTGCGGGAGAAAGGGAAGAAACGCAAAAACAGCAACTGGAACGCAGGCGTCATAAGCTGGTCGGGCTGCTCACGACACACGTGCAGACACACCCTCACTGACCTAACCCTGGCTTTCACAACTGCCTCGAGCTCGTGTGACTCCTCTTCTACAGTCTGCCATTGAAAATCGGGTACGAAGGACATTCCGCGACATCCGCTCAGAGGCACAACCACGAACACGTCCAGAGGCCCGCCCTCGACAGCACAGTGCTTCAGCCCCGCCCACACCAACGGCACGACCGGACGCGGCCAATTCGTAGTCGTGATCGGCCGACGCATGAAACCGACCCGGGCCAGTTTCGGCAGCCGGCTGATGACCTTGTCTACCCCTCCCCCATAGAGCGACACGCCCATCGGCCCACCCCTGTGGTCTATGAGAAGCGTCTTGACCGTACCGAAATGGGCGCTCTCGGTGATCCAAACCGGCAGCGGATGGCGGGGGTCATGCTCCGTCATGCCCTCCGGAAATGTGACGTAGAGGTCAGCCGCTTGCTTGAAGGAGAGGCCGTAGAGCTCGCTCGCGCCAGTCGCATGGGCGTTGAGGAAATAAGGGGAGAGGAACACACGTATGGCACTCGCCGCCGAGAAGTGCAGGGTCTCTCGAGTGCCAGCGAGCTGCTCTGGCTTGCCGATCAGCGGCAATTGGATCTGAACGGGGGCGGGGCGCTCGGATGTTGCTCGCCGGACGAGGCGAAGGCGTCCACTGTCCATCGCTAGCGTGTGGTACAGCTCCTTCGCGCCCTTAGCCAGCCACGTGTCTCGGAACTCGTGCAGCTTCTACAAGAACACATATCCACATCAAGATGCAAACCCGTGTTACAGTATGTAGCCATATGGCGCTTTCCCACCTGCACGCTGTTCGCATGAGTGAGTATCGCCCCAATCGCAACCTCCAGGCACTCGAGGCCGCTGAGGTCGGGAGCCTCTGGGTACATGTTGAGAGTGATGGCCCCGGTGAGTGACTTGATGGTGGCCTGAGAGGGCGTCCCCAGCAGCGAATGGACGACGGTCTCAAGCGGCGTGTACACGGGCTGACCATCAGCTGACACCTGATAAGAAAACGACACGCACCGTCCATCTAACTATGGCCGCATTACCCTCTAGCACCCACCTGGTTGAGGAGATGGAGTGACCGCAGGCCGCCAGTCAACCCCTTGAGCATCGTCAGCCCCCCGTGTGCAGGCCACTCGACGCTCAGATGGGTCAGGGCGGGCATCTCATACACCTGCTTCCTATCGATCTGTCTCTGCATCACGCCCAGCCACTCTCGCGTCAGAACGGCCTTGACGAGCCGCGGGAAACTCAAAGTACTGCGCTCGGCGATCGAAATGCACTGTATCGTGCGGTCGGCGGCCGAGTCGACGGTGGTCCCGGTGACGTTTGGAGCGGCGGCCTCGAGCAGGGCGACGGTGACGGCCCGCGACACGATATCACCACAGCTTCTGCGGTCGGCCGTTGTGTCGACAATGACCTCAGTGACGCTTGCAGCGGCAGCCTCGAGCAGTTGTCTGCCCAGAGGATACGTACCGCTCTTGATCAACACACGAATGCTGTTCGTGCGGGAAAGCACCTCTGAAGGATCCACCAAGACACACAGACAAGTGACCGGCAATGAGTCGACTGCCGTGCTGTGTTGTGCTCTTCTCACCTTTCCACTTCTTATGGACCGCTTGGGGGGCGCGCGTGTGACGTTTGGTGCTTTCGAGCAGCAGGATGGGATGCATCTTGGGGTTATCGACGATCGACGCGATCGCCGTGCTGACCCCCGAGAGGGACTTGACGCACTCGACGAAGCCCAGATAACCACCTGCAGACCAAGCCAGACAGACAGACAGACAGACAGGTGAGGCGACTGAGATGGCTTCTTCTCTTTGCGTTCTTACCGATGCCGGTGCGATCGGTGTCGCTCAGCCACAGCACCTCGAGAATGCCCTCGAAACGACTGTTTCCGCCCAGTCCCACCACCGTTGGAGCTGAACAACACACAGACAAACAAACAGACAGACAGACAGACAGACGCACAAGGCGAATGTACGCCCTCACCTTCTGTCGTGGTGTGGCAAGGTGTGTTTCTCAGGAGGTCTCACTTGGTGGCGTGTTCGACACGCAGTATGGCTGAATGAATTTCTAGATCACCTGTAGCCAACAATCTGCACGAAACCCCGACACAGAAACCAGCCGGAATGCAGAATGACGCACACACTTACAGCCTATGTCGAATCCTCACCTGTCGACATGTAATAGTGTTGTGTGATGAAGTCATCAGCCGCCCTCCCGTGTGTGCCGCACACACGACACACCGTCCGCCTCTCGCCACTGAAGACACACACAAAACAATAACGTACACCAACCTGTGACAGAAATCAGAGATCTCTGCCAACCTGTTGTCGAAATGGAATCTCCGGTCACCGACAAACAGATTCCCCGGTTCTCTCACGACCTCCTCGGTGACATCGGCGTGCGGGAAAGCCCACACGGTCTCACAGACGCTGTCCACCAGCAGACAGTCAGCGGGCAACACAGGAGGGTTCAGAGGCCGCTGTGTCGATCGGAAGAACGGCGAACATTCCTCTTGTCGGTTGAGGAAGGCCTGCTCGCTGATATGGAGGGGGAGGGCGGGAAGGGAGCAGATGAAGATTACCTCATCGTTGCCAAGATCTTCATCGGCATCGACCACACGGCGCTTCTTCCTCCTCTGCGGCGAGGTCATGGCAGGACCACTCCCTTTCCCTGGAGGGAGTCGACTTTTTTGCGAGCTCAACTTGGGGGAGGGGTTCGACAGGAGATCTAGGTGGGATCCCACCCTCTGTCATTCGGTGCTTCGCCTCCCATCAGTCGGAACAAGAAACGACTTCCATCCCATTTTTCGGTAAGAACACCTTGGAAGCCATATGATTTGCTTTCATCATGATGCTGTCAGGGGTCTCCAGCTGAAAGCGCTCCATTTTCTCGTCTCTTGATGACGCCCAGGTAGGTCACAATCGACACCGGCCAATCCGTCCGTGAGTGGCTGCGTGATTTGCTCTTGTGATGCTATCTGCCTGTCTGTCCGTCTGTCTGTCTGTCCTCCAGTGAGTGCACGCCATGACTGACCGGCCGCTACCATCAGATGTCCCATCGGCCCTCCACTCGGTGACAGTAGAGGCACTCCTTCGTCTCGACGGTGAGTGACAACTTGAAGGGAGAAAGACACACATTCACAACCAGTGCACGAAGAAAACGGGCCATCGTGTGTTCTCCCTTGTATGCAGAGCTTCGTCGTTCGACGGAGGGAGAGCAGCAGCAATACAAAAAGCGAATTTTTGAGCTCGAGACACAAAGGGACGACTACAGACGTGAGCGAGACGAAGCTCTTGACCGGGCACGGCGAGCGGAAGAAGAGCTGCGAGAGTTGCGGGCGCCCGGCCATGCGCAGAACGACAACTCGACTGTCGGCACGATTGCTCATCAGGGCGGTCTGTATCATGGCCCTTTGGCGAATGGAGTGCCGGACGGGAGAGGAGTGCTCGTGGCTGTGCTACACGCGACGGACGGCGAGACCAAGATATACGGGGGAGAGTGGAGGGGCGGCGAGCGTCACGGCAAGGGGGCGGAGTTCGCAACCTGTCAGATCAAGCGAAAGAAGAAGACATGTCTCGTGTATGAGGGCGACTTCGCGGACGGCAAGCGAGATGGCAAGGACACAGAATATGCATCAGACGGTCAGAAGATGGTGAACATCTACGAGGGTGGGTGGAAGAACGGCATGCGACGCGGCCACGGCAAGTCCACGAGCACGCCGGGTCGCCACTGTGGCCGTCGCTTTGGCGAGACAGTGTACGAGGGTCAGAGGGCAGATGGCGAGATGAAGGGAGACGGCCGCATTACCAACCTGAACCTTTGCGATGACAAGGGAGACTGTTTAGGGCAGTACACAGGCCCCACACTCGACGGCAAACCACACGGCGAGGGGAAAGTGCGCCACTGCGGTGGCGTTGTCTACGACGGCGGATGGAAGGAGGGAAAGCAGCACGGCCAGGGGGAGGAGCGCACTATGTTTTCTGAAGGAGTGAGCTACAATGGTGAGTGGGTCGAAGGAGACAAGAAGGGAGCCGGCGTGGCGACGGGCATGCTATGGGAGTGTGGCTTATATTATGGTGAGACACTCGACGGCAAGCCACACGGCCAGGGCGAGCTCCGAGACTACCGAAACAAGGAACTGGTCGTATACTCCGGCGAATGGAGGGACGGCGAGAGGCACGGCCAAGGGAAGGCATCCGCTCCTTTCGCCCGTTCTCCGGTGTGGTTTGAAGGGGAGTGGAGAGAGAACCTCATACATAAGGGAACGCTCTTCCCTGAGGGGGTCTGGTTCTCAGTGACGAGGCCTGGTGAGACCCCTACATGGCCCATCAAGGCCATTCAATGGCAAGAGGGGCAGCAGATAGCTGACATGGATGTGGGGGGTAAGACAAGGTTGTGGCAGGTCCTGAAGGATCGGGGCACGGCAGAGTATCTTCCTGCTGGTACACTGGTGTAGCCGGTGTCTCGTGTATCGTGTCTCGATGTGTGTCGGAGCTGACAGGATGGCGATTGATATCCGTTGGTCTGTCAATGTGGCTCTGTCGCTGTCTGGATCTCCACAAGGCGGCTTTGATAAGAATGAAGGTCTTCCCTTTTTTGGAGCTCACATGTCATGTACATGAGATGAAGTGACAATCTGATTGCTCCAACAATGAGACTCGATTCTCTTAGTGTGTCGATTCGATTAAGGACATGCCTCTCGTCCATGTCTGCACAGATGTCTCGCACACGGCCTTGCCATGCGCGTTAAGTCGGAGACACAAACTTACTGAGATATAAAATGTAGACAGCGATTGCATGCCTCGCTCAAGCTCGAGCAAAGCTAGTTGATCGCTGCAGGACACAGACGGGCAGACAGGCAGGCGGGTTCTGTCGGCATCACCTTCACCACGACAGGCCGATGTCGCCTCAGCTCGTGAAGCCGCCTCACCACGCTCTCGAAAGGGAGACGCGCCCAAGGATCCTCCTGCATCGCTGCCCATGCCACCTCCATCAGCCAGCCGAGGGTGAGGTCGTCTCGCTCGAGGAGAGTGTGCCTGGCATGCCGTCGGGCAGGAAGATCGATTGGGCTCTTGTGTTCCAACATAGTGCGCCCATCCAGCTCGTCCCTGATTTTCCTTTTCTGGTATGCTGCCTCCAGCTCTTCGTCGATTGCCCCGGCGATCCTCCTCTCCTCCCTCTCCTGCTGCCAAATCTCGCGCAAATCGCGGTCACAGAGCGCCACATAGGACGTCCCCGAGACGAAATGGCAGAGCAGCTGGCCGACGAGCAAAAGTGATCAAGGTGTCATCCAGCTGCAGCACCCGTATCGGCGTGCCGTCCATGTCTTCCACCCTCAGCACCCCTCTCCCTTGCAGCCTCTCCATGTACTGCCTGTGGAGGGACTACCACACGCATCCCGTGGACATTGTCTTGAAAGTCAGTCGCGGCCCCGTGACGACTTCCTTTATCTCCTCGATCTTCTCGTCGTTGTCATCATCGTCGCAGCCATCGAAGTAAGCCACCGCCGTCTCGGGCGCGATGTAGCCCCACGGATAAGCGGCGACCTTTCCCTTCCTGAGCTGCCGCTCGTTGTCGAGTGGCAGGCGGACGATTGTCTTGACCTCGTCAGTTTCTCCCACCAGCATGTTGCCACAATCGATAAAAGTGGCGCCCTCGCAAGGCAGGATGGGCGGGAGAGGGGAGGGGAGTGGCGCGGGTGGCAGTGGCGATGCATTGACGTGGTCAGTCTCCTCCAGCCCGTGCATCAAAACGTCCCTCTTCGACAGGACATCGTTGCACACATTGTCCAGCCCCAGGCGCTTCATCGAGTGTGCCGCGGAGAGGTGGGCGTGGGCGAAGTAGTAGATGCCGCGGAGGCCAATCACGACGTCATGCTCTACGGCTGCCTGGGCTGTGGGCGAGAGCGGAAGGGGATGGCAACGGGAGATCTGTCCGAAATTGTACCAGTGAATATGGTCGTGGATGTCCACGTACGTGGATCTCGAATAAGGCTGGCCAACTGCAAAGATGCAGAGAGGGAGATAAGCCGTGCAGGCCTCTTTCTTCCTCCCTTACTGCTCAGCCATGAGAGGACGAGGACGAGACGGTCCTCAGCCGTTTCGGGCTCGTCCTCAGCAACGGTGGTGCCGTCTTTGGTGCTTCGATAGCAAAGGTACTTCACGAATGGCCAGGCGCTAGGAGGCAGGGTGCCGGCCGCTTCTGCTTCTGCTTCTTTCTTGGCTGCAGCTGCGAGGCCCTTTTTTCGACGATCAGGGCGACGGCGACGGCATCGTGGCTCTCGCCGTCTTCTGCCGTGTAGGTGCTTCGGTAGAGGCTCGAGAAGTTGCTCTGTCTGATCTTGGCCACGGCGAATTGCTTCTCCAGATCTGTCTTCTCAGCTCCTACACGGAAAATGCGTTCCCTATCAGCTGAAGCACATGTGCTGCTAAGCTCTGTCAGTTGCTTCCTCTTCTTACCATTCAATTCGCTGCTGGTCTCTGCTCTTCCGTGGCCTGCCATGGGACAGTGGATTCCCAAGCACTCGCAAATGCATCCGATTCACACGGAAAACGCGTTCCCTATGTTATAAGCAATGCACACGTTTTCATTGGTTGTTTTTGTTGCCTTTTATCAATGCGCCGACTCCCTCTCACCTCTGAAACGGCGCAGAAGTTGCCGGCCGCGTCAGTGGCCCGACAAAAAGAAGATGAGAGACGAATTCGTTTTGTGTTGCCATTTCTTCCCCGATTGTGATGTCCATGAACACACGGGGGTTCGTCGGGTGTGACGGGGCGCCCGGTGTCTATTCAGACGAGATGTACAGGGCAGACACGTGCATAACGGCCCGTCAAATCCATCCTCTCATTACCTGTCGCTTGGCCTCCTGAACAAACTCGCTAACGGCGTCCGCGCCTCAGGGTTGGGAACCGAACAGCTCCGAGAATAGAACAGCTTCAGTCAGGAGCACACAGGCTGACTGGAGCTTCGGAAGAGGAATGGCGTCTTCTTTTTAATCTGTAATCTGGCCGTCTCGTAAATCCGTCTCGCGGCGAGAATTGCCCCCATTGCATGCGAGTCTGGAAAAAGTCCGTTTGCGCTGTTACACTTCAACTGGATTCGCCAACTCACGAATGTGTTGCTTAGATAAGATGACATCGAATTGACCAGTCCACAGACCATCATGTCAAAGACCGGAAAAGACCCATCAAACCATCCATGAGCTCAGAAAACGCGTGTATGTCTGTCCAGATCTCCGTCGCTATCTCTCTGGGGTATGAACCATCAACTTGAATGGGATCAGCCTTATGACGTCACGCACACGATGCTTCGCAGGGGCACTACCCACCATACCACACTACTATGTGTGTATCCCCCTGACGCCCAGGAAGGAGGCCATCCCACCAACAGATGAACCAGTGCATGTGTGTGTGTACTCAATTGATGTGTGAGTGTGTGTGTGGCAGTCATCTTTTCATGCCCGCGACACTCACCGCACCATTCTCTCTCTCTCTCTCTCTCTCTCTCTCTTATGAATATTAACAACACGAGTGCATCTTAGGGCTCACCGCCCCCAACCAGTGGCATTCCGCCGACCCCGCCCCTATTCACACTGACTGCAAAGCCACACAACATCAAAGACACGACATACTGAAAGACAGACAGACGTCATGTGATTGACTGTACAAACAACTTGGGCACAGTAAGACACACAGACAGCGAGACTAGCGCCGTCCCCTCTCACACGAACAAACAACGACACACGAGCCACAGTGTCTGAATGAGTTGGACACCTAATGCCGACGGCCTGAAGACCACACACACATGGAAACATTGGATGGACACGGTCCATAGGTCTGTCTGTCTGCCCACTGTGTCTGTCGTCGCTTACATTTGCCGTATTTGTGGTCGTGATGTTTCTTCCAGCAGTAATGGCCACGCTTGCAATCATGATCCTTCTTGCACCGATGGTCGTCATGGTGGTCGTCATGGTGGTCGTCACGGTGGCCCCTCTCCTTGCCTAAATCACACACCACACACAGAAGGGATGACGCCCACATTGCCCCCTCTGTGTGTCTGTGTCAGTGTGCGGCTCACATTTGCCATTCGAGCACCAATGTGAGTGGCAGTCGTTGTCATATCGACAGCCGCGGCCAATGTCATTCAGATCGCCGCCCTTACGGCACTGGCCATTCACACAGCTGCACACACACACACACACACACATCAACACACACATCGCCATGGCCCTCCCTCTTTTTCCTACTTGTGTGAGCAGCAGTGTGAGGTCTTCTTGCACTGTTGCTTTGAGTAAGAGGCAATGCACGACTGCAAACCCCGCAGACCGCCAGACGACACCAACGGCTCGTCGCCATCCTCATCGCTCAGCAGCAGCTGGTCGTCCACAGTCGTCAGGCCATCGTCGTCATCAGCGGCAGGGGGGCCAGTCGGGAGGGCCTCGTCGGCGGCCATGGCCACGGCGGCCGAGGGCATCCACACGGCCACCAGCAGCAGAGAGGCCGCAAGCAGGACCGTCAGGCGGGAGATGAGAGCCATAGCTGACGGGCAATTGAGAGGACGGGCAGTCAGTCGCACTGCGGCTGGGTGAGGGCCAGATGGGATACTCCGGTGGCTAACAGGCGCTGAGAGATGGGAAGCCGCTGGTCGGTCGAATTAAGTGAGATGAGCGGATAGGGAACTGGGGAGGGCAGATCCAGGTGAGGTCCTTTGCAGTCCTTTACGTACAGCGGTGAGAGAGGGGAGAGAGTGGAGAGTGAAGAGAGCGCAGGGTTTCGGGTCTGGGGTTGGGTTTGTCAAGCTCGCATCTTTCGGCCTTCACGAAGTGAAACCGCTGCTGCTCGGCCTGCACGAAGAGGGTGCAGAGAAGCACTTTCAAGGTGAGCCCCACCCGACACCGACCGTATCTGACTCATTGCCCTCTCAGTCACTGTGCTCGTCTTTGCCTTCAGTGGCCTCTGCCATTCGCAGTCTCATTCATCCTGTCGGTGGGGGATCGTCCGCTCGATAGATCTCGCAGCGTTTCTTCTCTTTTGACGGTGATCTGCTCCTCAGGGGAACCATCCTCTGCTCTGCGTCCGTGATTTCTGAGCGAAGGGCCCGTCAAGGTAGGCCTCAACGTCTGCGAATGCTGCCCACCTCCTATCCATCAGTTGCTGCACGATTCCCTGTGTTGTCACACTGTCTGCCTCTCAGGTACTGAGTGCACGCCATGGCTGCTCGGCCGCCACCATCAGATGCATCGCTTCATTCGGTGACAACTGAGATGCTCCAGAATGTCATCGACGGTGAGGAGGCCGGAGAGACAGACCCATACACACGGTGAATCCCCGTACGTGCCCATCTGTGTCTATGCAGATCTGCGTCGTTCGATGGACAGCGAGAGAAAGACATTCAACAAACGAATTGAGGAGCTTGAAGCGCAAAGAGACGAGTACAAGAGCGAGAGGGACGCTTACAAGAAGGAGCGAGACGCTGCGATGGACAAGCTCAGAGAACTTGAGGCCAAGATGGCAGCCGAGCAGGAGGCCCACAGCAACGTGGCTCGGACAGTTGTGCATGACGGAGGCCTTTATCACGGCTCCATCCGCAAAGTTGGCGGCACCGAGGTGCCCCACGGGACGGGGCTGCTGCGGTCGCTGGACGGCGAGAGAAAGCGATATGAGGGCGAGTGGAAGGACGGCAAGTACCACGGCAGGGGCACTGAGTTCAATCAAGACAGAGTCGTGTATGAGGGCGATTGGCAAGACGGCAAACGACAAGGTCACGGCATCGAGCACGCGTCAGACGGCCAGCTAATCTATGAAGGCGAGTGGACCAACGGAGAGAGGACCAACAAAGGAGAAGGAAAGGTGGGCTTCATGCAGGTCACTGACGACAAGGGAGAGCTTTTGGGCTATTATCACGGCGAGACCCTCAATGGCCAGCCAAATGGGAAGGGGGAACTGCGAGACGGCACCAATCGAGTCACCTACAAGGGCGAGTGGAAGAGCGGCAAGCGACACGGCCAGGGCAAGGAATGCGCGCCATGCCAAGTGCTCAACCAGGAACGCAGCCAATACGAGACCAAGATGTGTGTCGTGTACGAGGGCGGTTTCGTGGATGGCAAGTGGCACGGCCAGGGGAAGGCATACTACGACCACCTTGGTTTTGGTACTGCGTTGTGGTTTGATGGCGAATGGCGAGAGGGCCTGATCAACAGCGGCACCCTCTTCCCTGACGGCACCTGGGGTGGAGGGAAGATGAGCGGCGGCACCCCCCTTCGGCCCATCACGCCCATTCGATGGCAGGCCGGACAGGGGATACCCGGGCGGGCGGGGAAGCAGATAGGAGACCTGCCGAGGTGGCTGCGAGATCGCGGTGTGTCGGGATATTTCCCTGCTGGAGCACTCGGGTAGTGAGTGTGTCTTTCGCGTGTCTGGCTCATTGTGTCTATGTCCTGTGCGTCATTAGTTTCTGGATTGGTTTGTGGGAGGAGTTGCGTTTGGTGGTGCCTTGTGTGGTAACGATGCTGTCTGTGTGCATGCACTCGGGCTTTAGTAACTCGATCGGCCGTCTCGTAAAGTGCATGTCTGCCGAGAAAGTGCATGTCTGCGCTGTTACACTTCGACGACGTCTGAATTGGTCACTTCACGAATGTTGCAGGAGTGTTGACGTGTGTATTGTCATCCATGAAAGTCACCAGAACATGAATACTAAGCGACGAATTGACCTTTATAAGCATCGAAATCAAGAAAACGGCCCTTTCTCACCCTATGTGTTCAAAGAACACATGTCTGCCTGTCCAGATCTCTGTCGCTATCTCTTTGAGGTATGGAAAAACACCCATCAAGTTGAGTGAGATCAGCATAGTATTACGTTAACACGATGCTTCGCAGGGACACTACCCAACACACACCACAATACTATGTGTGTATCACCCTGACGCCCACGAAGGAATGCACCCCAGCACCAGACGGAAAGCAGCATGTGCTACATGTATGTGTGTGGTCAATTAATGTGTGTGTGCGGCAGTCATCTTTTTATGCCCACGACACTCACCGCACTATTCTCTCTGCCCCTTTCTTTCAGTATAAACAATTACGAACGCATCTTAGGGCTCACCGCCCCCAACCAGTGGCATCCCCCCGACCCCGCCCCTATTCACACTGACTGCAAAGCCACACACAACATCAAAGACACGACACACTGAAAGACAGACAGACGTCATGTAATTGACTGTACAAACAACTTGGGCACAGTAAGACAGACAGACAGACAGCGAGACTAGCGCCGTCCCTCTCACACGAACAAACAACGACACACGAGCCACAGTGTCTGAATGAGTTGGACGCCTAATGCCGACGGCCTGAAGACCACACACACATGGCCACATTGGATGGACACGGCCCATAGGTGTGTCTGTCTGCCCACTGTGTCTGTCTGTCTCACTCACATTTGCCGTATTTGTGGTCGTGGTGTTTCTTCCAGCAGTAATGGCCACGCTTGCAATCATGGTCCTTCTTGCACCGATGGTCGTCATGATGGTCGTCATGGTGGTCGTCATGGTGGCCCCTCTCCTTGCCTAATGAGCACACACCACACACACAGAAGAGATGACGCCCACATTGCCCTCGCCCTGTGTGTGACTGTGTGGCTCACATTTGCCATTCGAGCAGTAATGTGAGTGGCAGTCGTTGTCATATCGACAGCCGTGGCCAATGCCATTCAGATCGCCGCCCTTACGGCACTGGCCATTCACACAGCTGCACACACACACACACAGCCATCAACACACGCATCGCCATGGCTCTCCTCTCCCCATTGCCCTACTTGTGTGAGCAGCAGTGTGAGGTTTTCTTGCACTGTTTCTTTGAGTAGGAGGCAATGCAGGACTGCAAACCGCGCAGACCGCCAGACGACACCAACGGCTCATCGCCGTCCTCATCGCTCAGCAGCAGCTGGTCGTCCACAGTCGTCAGGCCATCATCATCATCATCATCATCAGCAGCGGCAGGGGGGCCAGTCGGGAGGACCTCGTCGGCAGCCATGGCCACGGCGGCCGAGGGCATCCACACGGCCACCAGCAGCAGAGAGGCCGCAAGCACGACCGTCAGGCGCGAGATGAGGGCCATTGCTGACGGGCAATTGAGAGGTCAGACAGTCAGTTGCACTGCGGCTGGGTGAGGGCAGATGGGATGCTCTTGGTGTTAACAGGCGCTGAGAGATGGGAAGTCGCTGGTCGGTCGAATTAAGTGAGATGAGCGGATGGGGAAGTGGGGAGGGCAGATCCAGGTGAGATCCTTTGTAGTCCCTTACGTACAGCGGTGAGAGAGGGGAGAGAGGGGGGAGGGCGCGGAGGCCGCAGGGTTTCGGGTCTGGGGTTTCTTCGGGGTTTGCCAAGCTCGCATCCTGGCCCGCGTCAGCACGAAGAGGGTGCAGAGAAGCACTTTCAAGGTGAACCCACCGACACCCACCGTATCTGACTCATTGCCCTCTCATTCATAGTATGCGCATGGTGTGCGAAAAAGGCCGGTGAGGACCTTTCCTGTAGTTAGCTGAATAGAGGATCTGCTGGGCGGTAAGTCCCAGAGTAAGAGTGCTTTTACTT